TTCTGTTTAGAGTTGTTATAATTCGTGGTTCATTAGGGCCGGAAGTTGTTTATTGGCTGAAGTAAGGAGTAAAAAAGATGCACCTTTATGGTCGGTTGGTTTACGGAATGTCAGATTATCTTAGGTAATGTCAGATTACCTTAGGGAATGTTAGATTACTGGGATTCCTGTATTTGATTAAAATTGGGGTACATAATATAATTATGTTTGGTTTTGGGTTATCTTTTATACACACTATAATATCCTTAACATATTTTCATACATTTTAATAAATTTAAAAATTAAAATAAATAAATAAGATAACGGTATCATATATAATTACATGATTTTAAAATATTAACTAAATTCTTCAACATGAGAAACAAAATTATTTTATATGCTAACATAATATAATAAAAATAAAAAATATATATAATTACAAAAATAATTTTATATATATATATATATATATATATATATATATATAAACTAACATAACCAAGGTTATCTTACATTACTTAAGATTTTGAAGGGAATCACATTCCCAAGATAATATAAACCAAACACCGGAATGTGAGTTTTGGAATGTCACATTCTTTTGGTTATGTTATATAATTTGAACCAAACGTCCCCTTAAGTCTTACAAAGAGGCACCTTAAGTATCAGAATGATGTACTTTAAGTGGTATAAGGACCTTAGGTATTAAAATGACTATAACTAATGCACTTTAAATGTTAAAATGACGCATTAAGTGCTAAAATGATGCACTTTAAGTGGTTTAGAATGATGCATTTTAAATTTCTACAATAACGATGTACTTTAAGCTTTCAACAATTTATAAAATTACCATAATGCCACCATACTTTTTTAATTAGTGTGATGGTTGATTTTGACAAAATCAATGACTATCTGTATATTTTACCTAAAGATCTTTTATATATATATATATATATATATATATATATATATATATATATATATATATATACTAGTAATTCACCCGCGCCGAAAAAAAAATTATGTTATTATAAATATAAATAAAAAATAGAAAAACTAAAATATTTTAAATTATTTAATATAATAATATTTTTGAGCTTCCATTGGTCAAATATTTATTATTTTTATAGAATACAAAATTACAATTAAAATTAAAATTATAATTTTGTATGATTAATATAATCTTTAATTATGTGCATATTCAAATAAACTTATAGAAAGAATTTACATAATTACATTGATTTATTCTTAATTGTATTTTATCTATATTATAATTTTCACAATACGAATAATAACTAAGATAATTACATTTGGAAAGCAAATTTTAAATTTTGTGTGTAAATTTAAACTCTAATTGAACACATTTTTTATATGATTATATAATATATAGCTATTTTATTTTTTAAATGTTGTGTTTTTTTTTTATAATAAAAGATATTGTGACATTAATTGTAACATTAATTATTTCTCAAACCATATAGCTTTATTATATAAAGGATATATAAAATGTAACTGCATATTTAATTTTGTAACTTCCACACTTATGTGAAATTAATAACGGTTACAGAATTAAATATGTAATTACAGAATTAAATTTCAATTAAATTGGAGTTACATTTTAAACTCTTAAAATTGACAATTTTAATTTGCTTAATTAATGTCATTGGACATTCTTAGATTCCGATTCCCAATTCTCAGAGATCTCTAACAATAGAGTTCTCTATCCAATAGAGAGGCGAAAGTTTGAGATATTTACAATCGATAGAAACTACTATTTTAAAAGACTTCAACTTTTAAAAGGCAATTTTGAATGATAAACTTGATCAGTTTTGATAGTTTTGATATACATATTTGTTTCTTAGACAAACTAATCTACATATGACTTTTCTGATATACATAGTCAACCAAGTATAAGCTTAGTCAAATGAATGAATGATAGAGGCTTAGGCAATATATATCTAGTTATTTTGTTTCTTAGTCAAATGTTTCAGGAATCTCAGGACAGTTATTAAATGAATGAGAATTCTCCGTGTATCTTTCCTCAGTATTCATCAAAGGTTCAACTGAGAGAAAGAAAAGCATAATGAGACTTTCACCGAAGATCAACTACGAGAAGGAACATCTTAATCTACAACAAAAAGTTAATTTTCAATACATTGAGGGGCGTTTGGTTCGGGTTATATAGGATAACCAAGGGAATGTGACATTCCAAATCTCACATTCCGGTGTTTGGTTCATATTATCTTAGGGAATCTAACATTCCCAAGGAATGTCACATTCCCTCCACATAGGATTTTGAAGGGAATGTGATTCCTTTCGAAATCTTAGGTAATGTAAGATAACCTTGGTTATGTTAGTTTATTATATATATATATATATATATATATATATATATATATATATATATATATATATATATATAATTATTTTTTTAATTATATATATTTTTTATTTTTATTATGTTATGTTAGCATATAAAATAATTTTGTTTCTCAGGTTCAAGATTTTAGTTAATATTTTAAAATCATGTAATTATATATGATACCGTTATCTTATTTATTTATTTTAATTTTTAAATTTATTAAAATATATGAAAATATATTAAGGATATTATAGTGTGTATAAAAGATAACCCTAAACCAAACATGATTACCCAGTAATCTAACCTTCCCAACAATCTAACATTCCCTAAGGTAATCTGACATTCCGTGAACCAAACGACCCCTGAATGTTCATTTTTTGTGTATTGAAAGTTCCTTATTTGGTATACAAAAAAAATAAATTTTAATATATTAAAAATAAATATTTATTTATGATTCGGATTGCAATGTGGATCATAGTCCATAGTATAATTTGGCTTTTTGAGAAAGAAAATTATACCAAACAGTTATCAACTAACAACTCATTACCATTGTAACAAATCTTTCTATAGGCAAATGGTTTACACAGTTGTGTGGACTGCAGTTCAAAATGACGTCGTTTTGATGTAAAAAAAATCTTCATTCCGCGTACATGTTAGAATAATGAACATTTGGACTTACAACAAGATTTGGATTTACTTCTTTTATTATTATTATTATTATTATTATTATTATTGTTATTATTATTATTATTATTAAAAACAAAAAAATAAATCATACGATATTTGGTTCAGGTTTTTTTTTTTTTTTTTAAATGTAACTATTCGGTTCGGTTGGTTTTTACTGAACTATTCGGTATATAAAAATTCATTATCGTTCGGTTGTTCGGTATATTATCGAACATTCGAACCGATCGAATCAAACTAGTTTGGTTCGGTTCGGAAAAATCGAACTAAATTGTCCACCCATAATTTTATGTGGTATAATAATGTACTTTTTATGTGTTTGAGTAATAAAATTTGTGTGGTGAGATATGACCCTGTTTGGTAAATAGCTGTTAGTTGTTAGCTGATTAGGTTAATTAGGGATAGTTGATAACATTAGCTGATTGTAAAAATGTGTATTAGTTGATTGTAAAAATGTGTTTGGTAAATTAGTTGTTTGGTATAATTTTTTTTTTCTCGAAAAGCTAATTGAAAAAAGTTACTTTGAGCAACTTTTTAAATTTTAACATTTTGGAGTTCAAAAAGCTAACTAACCAAATATTTATATTAATTTTTTAACCAAATCAAAAAGCTAATAGTGATAAAATAAGCTAAAATTGGCCTATAGGCTAACTATTTTACCAAACAAGGCTAATGTATTTTATGAGTTAGAATAATGTATAGTGTACTTATATGTTAGAATAATGAAATTTATAGGGTAAGATAATATATAAATATATTTTATGAGTTAGAATAATGTATTATGCGTTTTTAGACTGAGGTCCACACATATGATCTTGACAAGATCAATGACTATAATTAATCCGGTCGCATGTTTTACTAGAGACCCCATTCGCATTTGATATATATATATATATATATATATATATATATATATATATATATATATATATATATATATAGAGGCGGGTTCAGGTGCGGCAGTGTCTTACGGTGCGGCAACACCAATAGTTCACCAAATATGCACCATCAACGTTAGGAAATACACCACACAAAATAGAGTAAACAGAGCCCTGCATCACCAAACACACACCATTAGGTGTGCGTAAAAACACCATACACTGTTCGGAAATACACCGTTGGGGGTGGTGAGTTATATGGTGTGTTTTTTTGAGTCTGTGGTGTATTTTGTGATGTTTTATTACATTTCATTGGGGTGTGTTTTTATTACACTGTTGGTGCATATTGTTAACACTGTTGGTGTATTCTGGAATTTGACCGCACCGCCGCACCGTAAGACCCCGCCGCATATGAGCGCTCTTTTATATATATATATATATATATATATATATATATATATATAATGTTACCGCATATTTAATTTTGTAACCTCCACACTTATGTGAAATTAATAAAGATTACAGAATTAAATATGTAATTACATAATTAAATTTCAATTAAATTGGAGTTATTATCTACAATTTTAATAAGAGCAAATATTGTTAGACCCTTAACGGGAATAAAAAAAAATGTCGGTACACCATACGCTTTAAAAGATTGTACTTTGAGCTCTTCTAATGGTACAATGCCAAATTAAAATTCTAATATAGGCTCATTCGTCTTATTTTTACCAAACTAAGAATGTTAAATTAAACAGATTCTGTTAAATAAAAGAGGCGGTGGCAAATTTGTAGTTTAAGTGAAATTGAATGGCAGTTAACATGTGGTCTTCTTCAAACACAAGCGGCAGAAAGCCAAGAAGCACAGCAAACAAATTAGGGCAGCAACTCACAGCTAAAGCGAAATTCGAAACGAGAAGCACAAGCGGAGAAGCACAACTGAATTTGGTCTCTGCCGATTACCGAAAGGAAAGCCGACGGAGAAGAATTGCGTCTGGTATGCAATTTGAGCTTTTTAGTACAGATTAATTACAGATATTTGAGAATTTACATCTATTTGAGAATTTACCTTTTTTTTAGGGGGGAGGTGGTGTGAGTTACACAACTGAATTTGGTCTCTGCCGATTACCGAAAGGAAAGCCGACGGAGAAGCATTGCGTCTGGTATGCAATTTGAGCTATTTTAGTACAGATTAATTACAGATATTTGAGAATTTACATCTATTTGAGAATTTACTTTTTTTTAGGGGGGGAGGTGGTGTGAGTTACACAATTAGATTTTTAAAGAATTTACCTATTTGAGTCGATTTAATATTCTGAGATTTAGTATTTGTGTTTATTGGTTGTTATTTGGATTCTGAAAATTAATGGGTCTCTCTAACTTGAAACTATCTCAATCACCATCTAATTGGATAGGATTCCTTAATATTCATACTGGCCAGCGACGATACATGCGACTTACTTTGTCTTTTCTTTTCTCTATTTTTGGACAATCGAGATGATTACCGGTTAAATTCTGGTTTATAAAGTTTTTTAGGGGGTACAATTGGATTTTTAAAGAATTTACGTATTTGAGATTCAATTCTTTCGCCTTCACGCCTCCAAATCCGGTTAGCAATCAACCTCCATAGCTTCTCACCTACCAGCTTTACATCTTCAATTCCCAAGTCTTTTGATCTTTTACTTTCATAATTTGTGATTTAATTTGACTTTGTATATCTGCTATGATAATTTTAAATTTATTTACATGCACACACAATGTAGAGGTGTGAAGGAGAAGCATTGCGTCTGGTATGCAATTTGAGCTATTTGAGTACAGATTAATTATAGATTATGTAAAGGTGTAAAGGAGAAGCATAATTTTTACATCTATTTGTTATATTTATTTTTTGTTAATGTAGAAAGATCAAAATTCACAATTGTATTCTCATTTATGACAATTTTTTGCATATCCAAATTACTATGTATAAGGATAATTGCAACCTTAAATTGTAGTTACTTCCATATTTGTTATGTTCACATAATTTGATTGGGCTTGAATGGGGTTTGCTCTTCTTCAATGACCATAGGTTAAATGAACATGAACCATGGCTGTATAGAGGATGTATTTAAGAAAATAGTGTATAAAGAAGATATGGCATTCACTGCGCAATTGATGTAAGGCAAATTCTATGTTTTGCACCTTTGCTTAGTTTTGCAGACTGCATGTGATGTTAAAATGGCTAATTTAGCTTTGAATGAGCTCTTCAAATTAAATCCAGATAGTCAGGGGGTGTATGTGTTAAATCCAATGCTTTGGGAAAGGTTGATAGATGATTTACTTTAAACTAAATGGGTAATTACTGTTCGGTAAGAGGAATACTGAAATGTTCAGGATTTAGGTGGCTTGGAAGTGAAAGAGTTCATGGAGCTTTTCAATTCACATGCTAGACAACAGATTTAAAGAAAGGTAATGCCTTCTTAAGCTTTTGATCTTGTTCCATATCGTAAATTTCCTGAAATCTCAATTATTTAAAATGCTAAGTTGCCTTGAATCTGGTTTTCATCTTTGAACCCAGCATTGGTTGAAGAAATGATCTCATGATGATGATGAGGATCGCCTTGAAAACTGTATTTTCCCAAGAGTTGATGATCTGTAGGTTCTTGCTTGACATGGTCTGCAATTTTTTATATCTCATAGTTGATTTGGCTGCAACTCCCATCAAATGATGAGGACCCACTGACCTCACTTCCCCCAAATATCAGCAAATTATGATTACCCTTATTCATAGCTGCTGGGTGGTGATGATATTGCTGCATTAGTGCAGGGAGTTCAGCAAGGCCTGCTGGTCTTGATAGCTCATTTGAAAGTTGAAACAAGGATAGAAAGACTTGTTACAGTGATCATACCCGAACTCTGGATTAGCAAAAGCGCATTAAGAAAATTTAATTCATATCTTGTCAGATTAGTACTCTTCATATCAAAATTTAAATCTAACTCTTTTCTCCCAAGTTGGTCATGATAGACAATCAACTTTAGTCAGTGGTTTATTTGTTTTTGTTATTTTCCAATTTCTTTATCTTTTATTTTTTATTAAAATATATAAAAGATTTTAACATTTTTTTCTCTCTCATTATTATATGAGTACTTTTACGAATTAAGAAACACTAATTTAAAAATATACATTGGGCATTGGTTTAATCGCGCATTGCGCGTGTGATTACTAGTACATTATATAAATCTTAAGAGTGTTATAATGACACACTTTAAATTTCTACAATAACACATTTTAAGTTCTCAAGTGTAGAACTGACACATTTTAACGGGACATTTACTTGGAGGGAGGTAATTACGTGGGAAAGTAATTACAATTCCATGGGAGATGCATTACTAGGAATAAAGTAGAATTCAGTGTTTGGTTTACAAGCATAGAATTACTGAAAATTTCAATTTCAATGTTTGGTATGCATACGAATTAAAATGGAATAGGTAGTATAAAGTCTAAAATGCTACCAGGACTATGTGGTCTAATGGTACTCGGGTTGGACTTTCATTTGGAAGATTATGAGTTTGAGCCTCGGTGGAGGTTATATTACAGTGTAATAGAGCTAGTAGCTTTCAAAAAAAATAAAGTCTAAAATGCTTATTATTATTATTATTAATCCTAAATGACCAAATTTAAATTTTACTTTTAAAAATGTATGTAACACATTGTAAATAAAATCTAAAATTGCATAACGAAAGCAATAAAATAAAATAGATAAGGGAGTTTGAGAACACATATTTGATTAAGGTTGACATATTGATTGATATTCTGTGTTGAGAATAGAAGAAGAAGACACACTATAATCGAAAGAGAGATGTCAAACATCAATTTTAGGTTAAAAAAATATATGGATAATTTTGTCTCAGAGTTAAATTTTTTCTTCCTAAAATCCATGAAATTGAAATAAGGGGGGCATGTGATTCTAATTCCATGAAAATGAGGAAATTTATTTCCGTGGAATTGAAATTCCCTCACATTATATGAATGAATTTATATATATATATATATATATATATATATATATATATATATATATATATATATGTTCACAATTTACATACTAAATATTCACAATTTTTTTTTAATAAAATTATGAACACTCAGTATGTAAATTGTGTATTTTGAACTTTGGTTTACCTTGCAAGGTGGATCCGAATCCACAGAATAATTTGTCGCTGTGTGTACCACGGTCCAAAAACACATAAAGCACATTATTATAATTCATAAAATACATTATCTTACCCGAAAAACTTTTATTATTCTAACACATAAAGTACATGATACATTATTCTAACCTATAAAATACATTATTCTAGCACATAAAATATATTATTTTAACACACAAAATACATCTTCTCATCTTAGAAATTTTATTATTCTATCTCATTAAATATATTATTTTATTCCAAAATATATTCATTATTCTAACACGAGTAATAAATTTAGTTTTTTAACATTAAAACGACGTTGTTTTTTACCATTCTCCTCACAAAATTTACCCTATTTCCCTAAAAAAAGGCCCATAATTGAAGCCCAAAACTGGTACACAACTCCTATATATACCGCCTTCAAGAAACCAAACAGGGCATCCTCTCTCAAACCCTACAAGCGAAAAGTGGTGGCGGTGTCGGCTGATCTGAAATGGGAAGCGAAGGTTGACGGAAATCTATGGGGACTTGTGGTTAGGAAAGCTTTTATGTGCTCCTTACGGGTGTTATGAACTAAGCTTTCCTATACCACATATCCCTACGGCTTTCCGGTTCCTTTCTCATTACACATCATGCCTTTTCTTCTCGATTCGTAAGGTTATGAATGCAGGTGTTTGATCACTTCAGATCTCATAATATTTGGTGGTTTGGAGATTAAAATGGTTTGATTTCTGTATAAATAATTTTATTAGCTAATACCTACTGTGTTTAATGTTCAAACAACGCTTAAAACACTTAAAATTAAGAATAGGAAAACTGTTCAAATACATTTTTAAACTTTACATGATAGTGTAATTATGTATATGCATTTTAAAAAAAAGTGTAATTAAATATTTGAACTTGTGGTTCAGTAGTGGCCGAAGTTGGTAGATTGGCAAGACATTTGGTATAGTTTATGCAGAAAGTCAATAGTTTTGTGGTCCTTCAATTTGCAGCTGAAAGCTACAATAAATTGGGGATAAATGACATTTGCATATTATAGACAATGGCTCAAATTTCACTCCATTTTTTATTTGGGAGTTCTTTTGCTCTTAATTTCCTTTCTCTCTATATCTATGCTATATAAAATTTACAACTAACAGGACGTTTGGTTGGAGGGATTTTAAATTTCCTTCTCACTTAATTTCTACCTAATTCCAAAGATCATTAAATTCGTCTATTTTCATGAAATTAAAATCCCGTCCTCCCCTGGTATTTTAATTTCTGGAAAGAAAAGATAGAGATGAGTTAAAATTACCCCATCCTTTTTTAACTTAAAATTAATGTCTAACAACAATAATGGACATTTTTGATTTTATACTACTTATTCACTTTCAATTCCCATGTATACCAAACATTGGAATTGAAATTCCCAGTAATTCTATTTCTATTCCTGTCAATCAAATACTGAAATTTAAATTTCCACTTTATTCCCAGTAATTCAATTCTCATGGAATTACAATTTCTTTCCTACATAATTTCCCCCTTCCAACCAAACACCCTGTAAATATGATAAAAATCATAAAATTACTTTACTTGATGAATCCTATAGAACTCTATATGATATTAACTCTTGGTGTGAAAAGGGTGACTAAATAAACCCAAGCTGTGCAGATTTGATGGAAAGCTATGTAGATTAATCCTGAATAAATATTTAAAAACATACTCCGTATTAAGTTTGAATGAATAATATAATTTTAATCTATGCTCATTTTTTTATATATTTTTTTAATACATTATACTATAAAAGTTGTATATCTTTTGAATATAATGTACATGGTATATTATTTTTGTACTGAATGTATATTATTTTATAATATACAAAATATGGCTCACACAATTTGTGTAAATCATGGTCCACACAATAATGATTGATCAAAACATTGTTTAGTTTGTATAATTGGCAAAAAAAGCACTTGTACATTTTCATTTCAAAGTTTGTCAAAATACCAAAAGTTTACCAAAGTTTGCCAAAATACTAAAGTTTACCAAAGTGTACAAAAAACTAGTACAAAGCCAAACTAGTATTGAGAAAAAAATGCACAAACTGCCAAACAAAAGAAAAAGGTTTGCCAAAATCCAAAAAACTAGTACAAAGCCAAACTAGTACTACCAACATAGACCAAAGTCACTTCTGCATCTTCTTTTGAGTTCTCTTTTTTCTGGTATAGGCTTAAAACAATTACATAGTTTTTTCCTCCTCTTGTCATCACATTTTCAGCAAGAAATAAAGGTTGAGAGTTGTGACCTTTGGCTCTGAACTACTTGTGATGGTTGACATGTCAGTGCTATGTAAGTTGAGAACACATAATTATTAAATGGTGAAAGTTGATCATTCACTTACCATTTCATCAAATACAAAAGATGGCACTTGTGTCTCAACTGCTACGATAGTCCGTATGTACATAGTGCTTTTTTAAATGATAACTATCAGAAGGGTATATTGAAGTTTCCTAAGCAGGCTCTCAGAGCTTGGTTTCATCATTTACATACGTTTTTGTTGTCGGTTGGCTTCCAAACCTCAAAAGCGGAAGCGGATGTCTCTCTATGGAGTTTTACTACATAGACTCTCAAAGCATACTCCCTAAATGTTACTCCTTGTGGGTCCCAATACAAGTGTCTACATCAAGATTTTGTGTGTGAAAATAAGAGTTTAGAATAAAAAATGGGAGTACATGTTATAGGCAGTGACTCTTGCATTGGTGGCTGCTCTTTTAGCAAGTTGTAAGCTTTAATTAAAAGATATTAATTACGAAAAGTATGGCCAAAGGAACCAAATAATGAACTGACTCATCAACTCTCTCTTATGCTCTTCAATCTCCCACTCTTCCCGCCAATTGCTTCATCTTGTAATTGAAGGAATCCTTGATTTGACAAACCTATGAAAAAAGCATCAAAATGGTGAGAGAAAGAGATGGGAGAGAGAAATGGAATTATCAGACTAAGTTTCTTCAACTACCATTTGGTGTGATATCACCATTCACTACTCACTCACATTATGCTAATCAAAACCTCTTCTCATCTAATAATGCCCCCTTTAATACTCCACATATAATCTGAAACATTCCAGTGAATCTATAGGGTCTGGAGAACATGTATTCCCAGCAGCCAAAACATTTTGGTTCTCCTAGTACATTAGCAAAGCTCAGCTTCTGTGCTGTCTTCTTGTTCTTGATCTTTCCTCATGCAGGTATATATATAGGCACATGTTTCTGTCAATCTGCAATTTTGATTTTTGTTTTTTCCATTTTCATTTGCTGCATTTTATATTACATTGATCATTTTGGTTGCTTTAATTTTTGCCCTTCTTACTCTCCAGAGCCATTTGATCCACTTGATCCCTTTGGGAACATCACAATAAAATGGGATGTTATGTCTTGGACAGCTGATGGATATGTGGTAAGTATAGTAGTACAGTAGCATCAGACAATGCACATGGACCAAATCAACACTAACACCACTTTGTTTCATATTGGGAAAGAAATAGCATTCCTGATAATGGCCCTGTTTGATAAATGGCTGTTAGCTGTGGGCTGATTTGATTAATTAGAGGGTATAACTAGTTGATAACATTAGCTGATTGTAGAAATATGTTTGGTAAATTAGCTGTTAGCTTATAGCTGTTTGGTATAATTTCTTTTCTCAAAAAGCTAAATTAAAAAGTTGTTTTGAACAACTTTTTGAATTTTAGCATTTTGGAGTTACAAAAAGCTAATTAACCAAATACTTATATATTGATTTTTTAACCAAGTCAAACAATTAATAGTAGTCAAATAAGCCAAAATTGATGATAAACTAACTATTTTACCAAATAGGATCAATATGTTTATTCGATTGGTTGGTAATAAGTTTGGAAAAATTATCATTTATACCCTTCACTTATAAGCTAATTATAACGTTCAGACAATTCAGAATTTAAGGGCAACATTTATAATGGGTATGGACAATATACGTATACATGTTAAGAGAATTCAGGAATAACATTTATACCATATAGAACTGAGGAGTGACATTTATAAATGTCAAGTAGTGAGGGACATAAATTACAATTTTTCCTCTTATTTTTGAGAATATAATGAGTTATTATATTCCTTTTACATGGGAATATTGGAATAACTACTTTAAGAACATCTTGATATTAAGCAATTCCTAAAAACTCAAGAATATCCTATTTTTGTAATGTCTAATTTACTCTTAACGATTTATATCATTCATAATGAAGGGAATTTATGCCTTTTAAAGATTTACTTCACTTATATATTTCTAAAACCAACTAAACATTGTAATGCAATTGTTGAAGTTGATGATTTCTTACTTTCTCAAACAAAATATAATTTGTATTCTATTCTTTGTACATTTCATTTTAAATCTAACTAATTAGGTAGTGACTTCATAAACTTATTTCTTGTGGGGCAAAAACTTGTGTGAGGTTGGACGGTCGGATCAAGATAAAAATATAATACTTATACTGAAAAATATAATATTTTTACATTTTGACTTAAAAATATTATAGTTTTTTTTTTTTTCAAGAATATTACAGTTTCAAACTCTTTTAGTATTACATTTTATTTTTTTCAGTATAAGATCCGTGAGACTGTCTCACATGAAAGTAAAGATGAATAATTGATATGATGAAGGAATGTATGATATGGTGCAGGCTGCGGTAACTATGAACAACTTTCAAATGTATAGAGCCATAATGAGCCCAGGGTGGACTCTGGGGTGGTCATGGGCTAAGAAAGAAGTGATATGGTCCATTGTGGGAGCACAAGCCACAGAGCAAGGGGATTGCTCCAAATTCAAAGGGAATGTGCCACACTGCTGCAAGAAGACCCCCACAATTGTTGATCTCCTCCCTGGTGTTCCATATAACCAACAGTTCTCCAACTGCTGCAAGGGTGGGGTGGTGGCCTCCTGGGGCGAAGACCCCTCGGCTTCTGTGTCGGCGTTTCAGGTGAGCGTCGGCCTAGCCGGCACCTCCAACAAGACCGTCAAGCTCCCCACCAACTTCACTCTCATGGGTCCTGGCCCGGGCTACACTTGCGGCCCTGCAAAGATCGTTCCCTCCACGGTCTTCCTCACCGCTGATCGTAGACGAAAAACTCAAGCATTGAGTATGTTTCAGCTAACCTCAACTCGTATATTATTAACTTTATTTCCTTTTACTGTCATACATTTTTAAATGTTGGTACTGGAGATGGCCCTTTAAGTCCTTTACTGGGCTGCCGCCCAACTTGGCCCTTTAAGTCTTTTAATGGCCTCCGCCCAACAATCCCCAACCACTAGGTGCTAGAATTTTTTACCGGTTTCTGCCCGACAATTATAGGGTGTTTGGTTGGGGGGAGAGAGAATTACGTGGGAAAATAATTGCAATTCCATGGGAGATGAATTACTGGGAATAAAGTGAGAATTTAAATTCTTGTGTTTGGTTTATAGGAATACAATTACTGGGAATTTCAATTCCAATGTTTGGTATACATGGAAATTGAAAAGGAATAAGTAGTATAAAGTCTAAAGTGCCCATTGTTATTGTCATGCATCAATTTTAGGTTAAAAGGGGGAGGGGTAATTTTGTCCCATTATTTTTTTTTTCTTCCTAAAATCCATGGAATTAAAATCGCAAGGGGGACATGAGATTTTAATTTCATGAAAATGAGGGAATTGCAATTCCTTCCAACCAAACTAAGGAATTTAGTGGGAATGAAATTTAAATTCCCTCCAACCAAACGCCCTTTTTTTTTTTGGTTGCCCAAAGGTATCCCTCCCGCCGATAGTCAGAAGACTAATCCTCCGTCCCAACGATCAGCACACTAAGTGGTATTTGACTGGCCAAATGATTTGCTCCATTCACATGGGTGTCCATAATCTTAATTTTTGTACCGCACCTGATTAGTATTAGACTGATATATATGTATGAATGGTTGCAGTGACATGGAATGTGACATGCACATATTCTCAGCTTCTGGTATCAAGATACTCTACCTGTTGCGTCTCCTTCTCCTCTTTCTACAACCAGACAATTGTTCCCTGCCAACACTGCGCCTGTGGTTGCACCCACAAAAACTGCGTCAAGTAACCTATCTTTAATTTAACTCTCATTCTACAATACTAATACAATTTTTATATTCAATTAAATTTCTAATCTTTAACATAAAAGTGCATTGCCTGCACCGGGTAATTCAGTTAGTTTTTTGGTAACAAATTGTGAACAAGGATGCATAATCATACCTTGGTAGTCACAGTGTGGACCGGGACGAATCCAAAGGGAAGACAATGGTGGGAGGATAATGCGGTGTCAGTTGCCCTCCTCACCTCTCCCCGCCACCCCCATATATATATATAGCTCAATTTAAATGAGTTTATACTTATCAGGTCGAGTGACACGAAGAGGCTGAAATCAGCGGGGATTAACACCCCAAGGAAAGATAATGCAGCACTGTTGCAGTGCACTAATCATATGTGTCCTATAAGAGTGCATTGGCATGTGAAGATCAATTACAAGGATTATTGGAGAGTGAAGATTGCTGTGACTAACTTCAACTACAAGATGAACTACACCCAGTGGACTCTTGTGGCTCAGCACCCCAATCTCAACAATGTCACCCAAGTCTTCAGCTTCAACTACAAGCCTCTTGTCCCCTACCAATCTATAAGTAAGTACACAACACAACACTCTTGGCAAAATCCAAGTCAATGGACTTTTTTTTGTGATTCTCAAATATCCTGGTGATTTAATATTCACTACAAGTTGGTGAGTGATTAAGATATGTTAGGTAGTATGTAGTTAATTATTAGTAAATTTAATGAAAATAAATAAAGAAGTTAATTATTAGTAAATTTAATGAAAATAAGTAAAGAAGAAAGAGTTTGTTTGACCAATAAATAGTAAGTAGAACAGATAAAATAGGACAGAGTCAGTATTATTTACTTAAAGAGTTAAAGAGTTAATGTCATATGGGGTCCTCCGAGTATTGTAACTTTCAAATTGAACACTTGTGATCCTTTGACTTTCTAATTGTTATTATCTGTGGTCCAAGTTAACTATCCATGGTCCTTCAAATTTCAAAATTTAACTCGCCATGGTCCTCCCAGAAGGACATGGGTGGTTACAATTTGATAGTTGAAGGACCATGAGTGGTTAACTTGGACCACTGATGGTAACGATTTGAAAATCGAACGACTATGGGTGGTCAATTTAAAAGTTTAGGACTAAACGTGGCAAAACCAATATACTCGAATGACTCCAACTGGTATTAACTCTTAATTAAATGAGATATTCTCGAGTTCCGAAATTTGTTTCTACTCTGAGAATGCTGTGTAAGTTCCAATTCATGCTCCGGTGCACAAAGATGACAGGGATTTGCGGATTTCTGTGTTAATCCTCCGGAGGCGAAGCTGCCGTAGCGGAGAATTCACTTCTATGACAGTGGTTATTATTGCACGACACAACATTTCATTATCTTTACATTATTAGCCTAATTTTCCCACAAACGCAACTTGTTCTTCTTCTTATCGAGTTAAACTTTTAGTTGAAATGAAATGCGGCTTGACATCGAATCCCATAATGTTTGGTTTTCCGATCTTGTTCAGATGATACGGGCATGTTCTACGGCATGAAGTTCTACAATGACCTGTTAATGGAAGCTGGGCCTAGTGGGAATGTCCAGTCGGAGGTTCTCCTGAAGAAGGACAAGGAGACGTTTACGCTGAACCAGGGATGGGCTTTTCCTCGCAGAATATACTTTAATGGAGATGAATGCAAGCTCCCTCCTCCCGATGCTTACCCACATCTTCCAAACTCCGCCATTAGAGGATATTATTCATCATCTCCCTGCTCTATGTTCTTGCTTTTCTTCATTGTTGTGTCCATTTTCTGTTCTTGATTGCTTTTCTCGCAGCTTTATGCGTAGTTTTTTGCAGCAGAGCAGAGAGCAGAGTGTCATTTTAAAGAATGCATGTGATATGAAGAATTAAAGATGATATACTCATTGTTCAATGAAATTGTCTTGGACATATTTGTTTGATTTTTATCCCAATTCCATATAATATTCTTTACTCTCGTATTTTATTTTATTTGGAATAATAAAAGGATTAAAAGCTATTTAAGTCGTTAAATTATTTTAAGAAGAGTTAATCTTCAAAATGGTCCTCCGACTATGGCATTTTTTCAAATTGGTCTTTTAACTTTTAATTTTCTTAAAATGGTCCTTCGACTTTTGAATTTTAAGCTAAAATGGTCCCCCATTAGCTTTGGCATTAAGTTGGTGTTAAAATGAAGGGTAAATTAGAAATTTAGGGTTTGCACTCCAAATTAGGTTTTTGCTCTCCTAAATCTGCAATCAAAATATGGGATAATCAACTAGAAAATCAAAAAAGTTCATCTTCAACTTCATCCACAAACTTCCAAAGTCAAAGATTTCTGGTCAAGAGCACGTCATGTCTTACCAAGCCACCATGATGCTAATGGGGGCTACAGACGTAAGCATGTGTATGACCTTCTTTTCAACGCTAGAAGGATTAGCTCAACGATGGTTCACGAGCTTAATCGGGGGTGTATTGACTCTTTATATGATCTCGCGGTTAAATTTACCAAGCATTTCATGTGAGGAATGAAAGCTAGGAAGCACTTCACGTACCTAGCTAGTAGCTACCATCAAGCAAAGGGCCGACGAAGCTCTTATTGATTTCGTAACCCGTTGGCCATGAAAGTAGAAGAGGTAGACGGGATGAACAACAATTTTGCCATCACCATGTTCATTGAATCCTTAAGAGTTGGGGACTTGTACAAAAGTCTCAAGAGAAAGACCCCAACTAGTTACATAACCGTGATCGTTAAAGTCGACAAGTACGCCGAGGCTGAGAACTAGACCAAAGGAAAGGAAGATGAGAGGTATTCTAAGAGACCTTGGATAGAAGAAATCCCCAAACCAAATAAAAAGATACAGAACAACCAAGAAAGAGTAATCCAGAGCGATGTGGGAGGATCCTAGGTGTCGCGCCACTGATCCCAAGTGGACCCACAAGATTACTCCCATCAATGCCCTCTACACCAATCAATACCTTTAACACCATTGACTACGTGGCTAAGCGAGGTGCTGGCCTACACCAAAGAGTGCAGCATGACACGATTATCGTCGTCATCTACCACAGAATTTCTAGGAGTCGATAAGTCTAAGTACTGTCAATTTCACAAGAAGGCAACATGGTCACGACACCGATGAGTGTCACGCCCTAAAAATGGATATAGCTCCTCATCTAATAAAAAGAAATAGAAAATAACATTCTGATGGGTTCGCTAGGGGGTAAGTAGCCCAAGAAGTTGATATCAACACTTTGGTGGGCCGGCAATCTAGGTAAGTGGCCTAATGAGGTAATAACATTCTAGTGGCTTGCAAGCTGGGTAGGTGGCCCAATGAGTCAATAACAAAAATTTGATGGTCCCACATGCTAGGTATGCATCCCAATGAGGTAATAACATTATGGTGGGCTCACAAGTTGGATAAGCGACCCAAGGAGTCAATAACAAAATTCTAGTGCGCTTGTAGGTGGGGTAGGCAACCCAAGGAGGTAACAACATTCTAGTGGCCGTATAGCTAGATAGGTGGCCCAAGGAGGTAATAACATTTGGGTGGGCTCATAGGCAAGGTAAGCAGCCAAAGGACGTAACAAAATTTTAGTGGGCTCGCATGCTGGGTAGGCGGCTAAAGGAAGCAACATGCCTAACAAAAGGGCAGTCAAATGAGCGGGCACACAGTGAAGTTGGCTCAATAGTCTCGTTGTAAGGAGGTAGTAAAAAAAAAATCTTGGTAGGTTTGCAAGCAGGGGACGCGACCCAAGGAGGCAGCGCACCTAAACAAGAAAAGAATAAACAATATAGCAATCTAATGGGCTCGCACGTAGAGAATGCAGTTCAAGGAGCCTACAAGTATGGAAAGTGACTCAATAGGCGCACATGTAGGGAAGATAGTTGAAAAACATCTTTGGTGGACTTGCAGGGGAGGCACCCCAAGGTGGCAACGTGCCAAATAAGTCCCCACAGAGCAGCAATTATACTGTGGACCGCGGTCCACAAAGCTTTGTGTCCAAAACGGACACTATAGTGTATCTAAACTGACACTGTCTCACGTATTATTTTTATTATATTATCAAATGAAACTGCAATTGAATTGAAATGAAACTACAATTGAATTGAAATGAAACTGTAGTTGTGTTGAAATGAAACTGCAGTGTATACAAAATGAAACTGAATAACAATTTCACATATTTGAGTGTATATTGTCCAACGAAACTGTAGTTATATCAAAATGATATTGTAGTTGTGTTGAAATAAAACTATAATGTATATTTGATGTCTGGACTACAATGCAATGTGGACCGCGGTCCACAGTATAATTTGCCCCCACAGAGGGAAAGTGGCAAAAACTCTTGTTGGGCATGCAAGTAGAAAAATGTTTTATATCAAATATTTTAACTTTAAAGTTGAACTAAAAAACATAAAATAATTGGTCTAAAAAAAACATAAAATAAATTGTGAGCTTGCATTTAATTTTAATAAGATTAAGGCTATGTTTGACAAACCTAGCTAAAAGCTTAAAAGGAGTTGGAAACTTAAAAGCTATATGCTAGGAGCTGAAAATTAAAGAGCTGTTAAACTAGTTGTAATGCTCGAAAGTGTTTGATAAAATTAGCTTTTTGATAAACTGATAAATGTAAAAAGGCAAAAAATGACATATTCATAAAATTTAAATTTGTTTACATATTAAAATTTAACATTTTGTGTTCAAAAAAATTAACATTTTGAAATGAAATTATTAGCATAATCATGATCTAGCATCCCATAATGGAGTAACAATCATCTCATAATAATAATAATAATAATAATAATAATAATAATATTAAAAATGAGAACTGAGAAGTAAAATAAATTTTATATTTAAAAATTAAAATGAACATTTTGTTTTTGATTTTCGTACACAGGTTTTTACGTAATTTCGCAACGCTCCGCTTTAGAGTCCAGTACACAAGGAAGAACTAAAATGGCGGCGGCAGAGAGTTTCAGTCTACAAGAAATTTTCTGGGACTTGAATACAGTCTTAGATTACTCTCTATGACTCTATCTCCGTTTTTTTTTTTTTTGAATAACAAATTGCTTTATAATTTACTTTGAATAAGAGCCCAAAGTGGGAAAAGCTTTTCATCACAATATAATCAAGGGCACATTTTGTGAAAATCAATATCAGGGGGTTTTGCTCCTTGGAATAAAACCGAGAATTAAAATTTTCTTCTAAAGAAAATGGATAGTAGCAACATTAGCAATGGCGGTAGTTTGGATCAAACGTTGTTGGATGGAAAGTTGCATCGTCAAGTCAATACTCTTATTGTTGCTCATCTTCGTGACAACAATCTCAATCAGGTACTTGCTTTGTGGTTCTTGAGAGAAAGTTTAATTTCTTTTGTATCTTCAGTGATGTTTGGTAGATTTGATATTGTATCTTTAGTGATTCAGTGGAAATTTTTGCAAATATTGTTATTTTAGTAGAAAAGATGTATAATTTGAAGAATTTTAGAATGTGAGCATGTAAATTCCTCTCGTTCAGAAGCAACCTTGTACTGTAGTTCTTAAGATCAAAATTACACATTGTTTTTGAATTTTCAACTTCAATTGTTCACCCATTTGCATAACTTTTTTTTGCCAGTAACTAAATTTAGTAATGCTTGTAATAGTTGTTTGAAAAGCTTCTCAAAATAAGTACATGTTCAATAAAAGGAGACAATTTCTGAGAAAATTTTTAAAACGGTACATCTTCTTGACCCTGGTACGAATGAATATGCACGTAAAGTCCCATCCTTCATGCTAAAATAGGAACCTCCATTATGTCTTTAAAGCACATGATGGAGTTTAACTTGATTGACAGTTTGAGGCTTATGTAATGTAGTCGTGATTTGTAGTGATTTTCTACAATTCTAATCTCTTTCCCAAACAAATTTAAGTCCTTATAAACCATATGCTCCTGATATTATATTCATCACCATCCAAATGAACTGGCTTACCCTGATTTTACATCTTATTGTGTACACCTATTTGCAGCCAACTGTTTTTAATTTGCTAGTAGGCCGACCACATCCTGTGTGCAACACTTTCTTTGAGCATTCAACTCTTCTGACACTGCTAATCTCCAATTTGGATCACACGAATGCTTCCTGAATAGTTCTTAAAAAAAAAAAAAACAGGTTAGAAACCCTAGAAGTAAAAGCCCTATTGTTGTCCAACGGTTTCTGGTTCATTAGCTATTAGAAATAGGGAAATTTGAAATGAATGGAGTTCTTTAAGTGGCTTAGGGAGATTTTAATCAGAAAAATCAGTATAACCATATTTAGTTCGTGAAGATGAGGTAAGGACTAGGGAGAAGATTTGAATTACTTTGAGTGTTTGAAGAAGAACCATAAGTTGGAGACTTGGAGCTTCTACCCCTTTTCATTTGGAGCAGAGTGAATGAAAACACAATTTTTAAGCTTTTGAATATTACTAATTGGATAGAAAATTGCTAGGTATATACAGAAAAACATGTGCAGCCAAAATGCTTATGAGGACATGTTTAGAATTTAGAAAAAAAAAATTTACTTTTCAGACAGTTTACAGGAGTATAATACTTCAAAACACTGCAAGACATTCTATTAATTAAATAGGCTGCAGTCAGAACTCAGAACAGCCTCAGTATGTCTTGAGAGAACACTTCTCAATTGCAAGAAGAGGCTTTAAGCCAATAATGTGTCCACACATCTCATTAAACTCAACATTATGTGGCTGTTTGGTGCTTTCCCACCAATTAAATTCCTAGGGAATGTGTTTGTTGAGAGCAACTTTGCTGGGAAAATTAGTTAACATGTTTGGTGTTACTAGGAAACATAACAATTAAATTCCTTGAAAATTATTTCAAGCATTTAGTTTTTCCCAAGGATTTTGTTAAATCTCTAATATACGCTTGCCACATGCAAACAACAGAAAAGTAATTAGATAAATTTACACATTTTGGGAAAAAGAATCTGGCCACCCCAACTTTGAAATAACTTTCCCACCTTTAAAGGAATCGCATTCTTAGTTGACTCAACTTTTCGAAGTCAGAGCGCAACCAAAGATGCTAATAACTTTCTCACCTTTCAAATTGCTAGGAAAACTTTCCTGCTACCAAACAGCCTCTAAGTCTCCCAATAAACTTAAAAATCAACTTCTACCAGTCTTGTAGTGCTTCTTTTCATCTACTGACTTCTACTCATAATTGGCTAAAAATTTAAGGTCTTGCACAGTTCTAATAAGAGAATTGAAGTAGTTTGTGAGACTATTCTCACCTTGGCTAATGTTTATAAGTTAGTTCATATTCTTAGGATTTCTTCTCAAGGTCTGAGTTCATCAGGTTCCCATTGCCCCAGAGTTCCATTGCCAGTGAATAACAGATGTGATAAGAACTGATGTCTTTGACTGTTGAATTCAGATGCCAAATCATGACCGTAGAGTTCTTGACCTATCAAGTTGTGAAGGCCTGATCATCTTTATTTGGATTCTTCTTATCACCCATGAGGTTCCAAATCTTTCATGCCCCTTGATGTACATTTGGACATACCACAACAACCATACGAAATTGTCACCATTTAATTAACCTGTAAACTTGTTGCTGGAAAATATTCTTATTCATACTACTTCAATGGAGAGTGATACACCAATTTATTGACAAAGGAAGCCACCTAAATAGGATAAAATTATCTAACAATTGAGAAATGGGAATAAGTGACTAATTTCTCTATTAAAATTTATTCCTACATGTAAAGTAGGGAACAAATTCTTGTTATAAATTAGGAAGCTAAAAGAGATATAATACTATAGCACCAGAGAACTGATAAGAGTAAATTAAAAACTTTCCTTTTCTACATGTTAATATTTATTTTTACTTTAGGATAAAATCTAGATTTGCCTTGTGAGTGGACTCATTTGTTCCCAACATATTCTGGGAAGAGAGTGATTTGCACATTGCTCTATAAGTTTTGTTTCTGTGTTTTCTCAACTAAAGCTGTTGGTCTGAAGGTTGAGATCTAAAATACTCATTTTCAGGCCGCAAGAGCCGTTGCATCAGCTACAATGACACCGTTGACTATCGAAACTCCTCCTAGTAGGCTACTTGAATTGGTTGCTAAGGTATGTAGTGTTTATTAATGGTTGCCTTTGTTACATCTCATTTCATGATTTATTTTTTTCTCCTACTTCGGAGTAGGGAAAATAGGTGACAAAATTGACATCTTGAAGTTCCAAGTGGTTAACAGGGTCTTGCAGCTGAGAAGGATGAAGTGTTGAGAGGAGTTTCATCAGCTGCACCTTTTGATCCAACTCTAGCTGCTGGATATGGCTCCAAACCAGCTCCTCGGGCAATTTCTGTTGATTTTAGGCAATAATTTCCACCAAACTATAGTGTCTTACAATCTTTTGAACTAAGCCATTGCCATGAAATGCTTGTTTATATGATTTTTTTAAAAATTTTATTTTTTTATTGGTTAAATATTTGTTGTTTGTTTTTTTTTTTTTTTTTTTTGTTTTTGGAGCTGATAGTTTTGCTCTATAAGAGTAGTATATGCATTATTGCTAAATATCTGAGTATGGTTAAGAACTTAAGATAGCTGATAATGTGTTCATCTTCCTAAACAGTACTGCACATGACACCAAAGGCTCATCAAAAAATTTTCCAAAACATGAAAGTCGACATATTTCTGAGCACAAGGTATGTGTGTAACTTCAGCAAATTTTGCTTCGTAAAATTAGGTTCATCTTTGTTTTTACTGCTTAATTTAATTGAAAACCTGCTTAATGCAATTATATCTAACAAAATAATTCAATTTATTGTAGAGTATTGCTAGATGTGCAAGATTTAGTTGTGATGGAAGGTTTCTTGCTACCGGAAGTGCAGACCCGTCAATCAAACTCTTTGAAGTATTGTTCTCTTTTGTTCTTTTTATCATCTTTTTCTTTACTTTGTCCTTTATTTATTTTGGTGCTTATGAGCTGCAATCTTCTTGTGAAGGTTTCAAAAGTCAAACAAATGTTGCAGTCAGACTCAAGAGATGGCCCAGTGAGGCCAGTTATACGAACATTCTATGATCATACACAAGTAATTCTTTTGTTGCAGTTTAGATGATGTTCACTGTCATTGAGTAATGATTGCTAGTTACCCTATGATTTTCTTTTTGCATTTCCCCAAATTATCCTTATTTATGTTGTGAGTTTGAATCAGAAAATTTAGTTTCAGTGTTTACCATTTTGGTTTACTATAACCAATCATTAAATTGACATAATGTGATTGGTGTGAAGAGTGTTCTTCCCTGCTGCATGATGGAAGAGTGGTATGCTGAATGCTTTGGAGACCCTGAGTGATTGAACTGTTCTAATAACAATTTGATATTTGTGGAGCTGGGTTTTATACAAGTGGATATTTGGATGACGAGGGAAACCCCACAACTCTTTCGAGTGTGAGTAAACCTTGCCTTGTGACCCTAGCCGGTAAAGGACCACAAGGAAGTAAACCAGCCTAGGTTACCCATAGCTGACCAGTTCAAACCAAGGGGGCAAGGATTTGAACTCGTGACCTTGTGGTTACAAGCATGGATCTCTTGCCATCTTGGCTGGGGTTACCCCCTACAAGTGGATATTTGTTAATATTCGTGGTGGATAAAATAATTTTCTTTACCCATTATGATGTTCTTGTGCGTGCTTCAATAATCATATCTCATTGTGATTGTGGAGTCTGGAATTCCCCTGATTACCTACTTTTTTTTTTTTTTTTTTTTTGACACTTCTGCAGCCAATTAATGATTTAGATTTTCATCCTCAAAATGCAGTTGTGATTTCTGGGGCAAAAGATCACACCATCAAGTATGAGTTTGTTTTTCAGTATATCCTTCTATAGTTCTGTTCTAGACTGTTTCATTTTCCAATTATTGATTCCCACTGCCCCAATAAGGCTGTCCAGCTTAATATCTATTTTTTATTTCAAAATCTAAACATAAGAATATGAAAACTACATGGGGCAATTAAGCTGGAATAGAGGAAGTATAATTTAATCGTAATGATACCTGGAGACTTCTTCAATTATAAGTGAAATAATCAGACTTCTTGCTATCATTCAAAGGAATCTCCCATTGATTATGCAGTAAAATGCTTTCTTCCTTTCTTGCAGATTCTTTGATTTTTCAAAACCAGTAGCAAAGAGAGCATTCAGAGTTATTCAGGTCTCTTGGGCTTCCTTGTCCAATTCAATCATCAATTTTAAAGAAATTTCTTAGTAAATAGATCTTTATTTGTGGTATTACAGTCCTTCTCATAAAGGTTCAGATTTCATATTTTGTCAGGATACTCATAATGTAAGGTCTGTGTCAATTCACCCTTCTGGAGATTATCTTCTGGCAGGCAAGTAAAGTTCTCTTCGCATTAAATTATGAGCAATTCTTGGGTTTTCTAGAGCCTGGAATGCTACTCCCATAATTTTCAAGCTAATCTCTATCTGTGAAATCAAAACCCCCATCAATTGCTCTTGGAAAATCAAATATTCTTTAATCTTCTGTTAAAATACGGTGTGTTACATTTGATGTTTGCTTTCAACTCATAAATATGATATGTTGTACGTAACTTTTTGCTTTAACTCTTTGCTCTAGACAACTAAGAAATTTTATAAGATGCATGGAAAATGGATATTGTGCACTTAAAGTTTTAATAAATAAAAGAAACTCACAGTGAACTGTGACTTTTACTGATGCTAGGAACTTTAAAGATTGTCAAGCTGAATAACTGGTCTGGCCTTTAGATGCCTTCTGCAGAAAAAGTAAATTATAGAGTAAAAATATACTGTTTTCTTGTCATGTTTAAGATGTGGTGTTAGAGTCAGACTAAAATTCTTCCAAACTTTACAGTGGCTAAAAGATTCTGTAGTGTTTCCCACTCATAGTTAAGTAAAGAATACTGAGTCTTAGATTTTCCTTTTTGAAATACTCGTGATTCTTTATAAGGTAGTATCTATTCTATACTTTCTCAAACATTTTCAACCATTTGGAATGGTAACCGGCATGCCATCACACTACATGGTAGTTGGCACCGAGTCTTAGATTCTTAGTTGCTAAATTGCTGCATTAGTGATTTTTCTTAAATTGGCGTCTGACAAGGGTATTTACAGGAACTGATCACCCCATCCCTCATTTATATGACATCAATACTTTTCAATGTTACCTGCCATTGAATTTCCAAGACAGTATTGTTAATGGAGCCATAAATCAGGTAGAGTATGCATTTTGATAGGCTTTACGTCATAAAAGTTGATTACTTGATCACTTTCTCTGTTTATCAGGTCAGATATTCCCGAAATGGTGGCATGTATGTCACGGCATCTAAAGACGGTGCTATTCGGTTGTGGGATGGCATAACTGCTAGTTGTGTCCGATCCATAGATGGTGCACATGGGAAAGTCGAAGCCACAAGTGCAAACTTTACAAAGGATCAAAGGTAAGGCGATATTGAAAGATAAAAAGACCAAATTTCATCTCAAGCTAGAGATTCTTGAATACATTTAACGAGGAACATCTCCTATGTACTATAATTCTACGTTTCTAATGAAGAAACATAGTACATATATATACAGACACATAACTGTTAATTGAAGCACCTATTCATAAACAGACACAACCCTATAGAGAGACATAAGTCACATAACCCTTTGTTTTTCAACATTTAGGTATGTCCTCTCTTGTGGGAAAGACTCTTCTGTGAAGCTTTGGGAAGTCGGCACAGGAAGATTGGTCAAACAGTATCTTGGAGCTGTACATACGCAGTTGCGGTTCCAGGTAAAAGCCAGCTTAACATGACACATTTTGTAGAGACTTGGAACCCACCCGTGTCTGCTTTTGTATGAATTGAATCCCTTATTGGAATAGACATAAGCTTCTCCCCTTTTGCGTGCATTCTATTAAAACTTTTTGGTGGCTTGAATCTGAGAAATTTTCAAACGTACAAGGAGATAGAGCTGCAGTTCTCAAGTTTACATGAACTTGAGCATTAAAGGGTAGCAAATGCTTTCATATTCCATGTCTAAATCTATCTATATATAGATTATATTTATTTCCACAACTAATAAAAATATCAAGAACATGAAATTGGAGTTCGGGAAACTTGCTTGCTTCAATATATATCATTATTGTCTTATGTTCATGTGTTTGATGCAGGCTGTTTTCAATGATACGGAAGAATTTGTGCTATCCATAGATGAATCAAACAACGAGGTTAGTTTTCATGTTCAATTCTTTAATCTGATCAACCAACTCAAAGGGTATTTAACAGCTTAACAATGGTCTCAGATTGTTGTGTGGGATGCTCTGACAACCGAGAAAGTGGGTAGATTGCCCTCCAACCATGTTGGCATTCCGCGTTGGATTGAGCATTCTCCAACTGAGGCAGCGTTTTTTTCATGTGGAATTGACCAGTCTGTACGGTTCTGGAGAGAGGTAGTTTAGTTCTATGAAGAAGAAGAAACCGGGGTCATCATTCGACACCAATGACATGTATGCCAGCGGGAAAGCAAGCGAAAGAATGAGGTTACGGCTTCTGCTAGATTGGCTGCAAGACGATGAATTGCCTCTGCAACCTTATTTCCTTGGGCGGATGTTGTACTAATATTGATCTTTTTCTGTTTCTGCCCAAGATTGTCTCTATTAGAAGGCTGGTTTTAGGGTCTTTATATAGCATAATATAATCCATTTAGATTCAAATTTGTGAGTATATACTCTGCAGGCTAGGGTTCCATTGATTATAGGATATGACTTTGTGATCCAGGATATGACTTTGTGAGGTTCAATACTCTTTAGAATCATTTACCTTTTGGGAAACATTTTTCTTGGATGGACTGACTAATATGTGGATATTTTTAAATTTTGGACAAAAACATTTTAGTATAAGCTCGATTATCAACAATTATAAGGAAGTCTAACAGAGAGATCTTTAAGGGAGTTAGAGATAAAATTTGGGCGTGGGTTAATACTTGCTGACAAAAGGTGAATTTTGCTCGTCTCCAGGACATTCACACCTCGGCTTGACAAGATAGTGGATGAGTAAATTACGGTAATTCACCAGCCTATTAGGTGAAAGGAGCAATGGGTTACCATATTGGGTGCGACATGTTATGACGGGTTGGGAGGGAAGTAGTTATAAAATCAGTGGCACTTGCTATACCCACATACACTGAGTTGCTTGCTACCTGATTATTAGTTGAAGGAGATTGAATCAATGGTAGCTTAGCTTGATTTTGGTGGGGAAATAGGTGGGAGGGAACTAGTATCCACTGGGAGACAGGTTGGTTAATGGGTGGAATGGGTTTTAAAGACTTAAGTAGGGGGTGGAGAATTACCCAATTGTTATACCCTGCAACACAGTGCACATAGCACTGTGCGTTCCACGCCTCCCAAAATGACGTCGTTTTGATAAGTTGTATGGAGAGTCGACGCGACACAGTGTATGTGTATTATGTTATACAATTATGTACATTTTCGAACACGCAATTTTTTTAACAGTTAAAAGTTTATGTACATTCTCATATACAATTATGTACATTATAGTATACAATTATGTACATTTTCAAAACATGAATTTTTTTAACAAGTTAACAATAAACACGAGAAAGCGAAATTTAAAAAAAAAAAAAACAAAAACAACGTCGTTTTGCACCAGGACGCACATTGCAATGCACGGTATAAATTGCAGAATTACCACGAATCCAAGAAGGTTACTTGCAATGATTTTCCAAGCTAAATACTTTCTAAGTTGAACTTTCTTGGAATCCATATTAAATTGGGATATAGACCCTCCCTCCTATACATGGAAGAGAAAAGGTTAATATTGGGCACCAAGAAGTGTGGAGTTCATTGATTTTTTTATTTTTTATTTTTTAAATTAGGTGATCCCAATTGAGAGAAAGTTGCTTGGTGAAAGGAATAATGCATACATTCCCATTGAGAGAAAGTTAAGATATTTTAATGGAGGTGTAAGGAATAATGCATACATTCCCATTGAGAGAAAGTTGCTTGGTGAAAAGGATAATTCTTGAGAGCTATTCTTGTTACCTATGTGAGCCTGCACAAGAAACTACCTTACACGTTTTTCGAGATTGTCACTGCGTTTTTTTTTTTTATTACAAGGAAGGGGGATACCCATACAATCTATGCCTACACTGAGGCTCGAAACCTAGACCTCCCACATAGGGGAGCAATCCGATACTAGTGGACCACAAGCCACCGGTAGATTGTCACTGCGTTTGTTAGGCTATCTTCACCCTTACAATCTTCTCACTTTCAAAATATCATATTACTAAATTTACAATTATTTACTATTCACTCTTCATAAATACAATATTTTTTCCTTTTTCAAAAATAGCCACACTATCATCATATAAAAAATTATTATTTTTATAAATAAAATATATAATAAATAATAATAATAAAATATATATAAAATGCCAAAAAGTGGCCTTGCAAGCCTGCTACAATTCTGATAGCAGAGTTGCAAAATTTGCAATGCACATAATTAGGGTCATGTCAAACATGGATTCTTGACAAGAATTTTTGTTTCTTTTTAGACAGATGATGTGGATTATTCGATTGCAAACCAAATTGGCAAGAAAAGAAGTTATTTTTTGTTGCATTTGCTGCTGGTGAATATGGAATAACAAGAGATCTTTCTATGAGCCTGCAAATAACAATAACTGGTTGGAAGTCATAGCTTTAGAGCACATTGCCACATCTATTACATATAATGCACCTCGCTTTTGTTTTTTGTTTTTGTTTTTGTTTTTGTTTTTGTTTCCTGAAAAACCATGCAATATCTAAAAATATTTTCTTTTCGTTCCTCAAAAACAGTTACATTTGTTTCTGAAACATTTCAACCATTCCTCACAAATAGTTACAAATATGATTTAAAGCAGGAAAAAGAACTTTAACATCCCCTGATAGAATATCTTCACTTGTTTTTTCCTCTATTCTTTTAGGAAAATACTATATGTATTCCCATTTCTTACTCCCTCTCACAAATTCTTGACAAATTCTTGACGTAGACATATTCCCTGGGACCCACATGATGAAAATAGCCAATCTTTGTTTTTTCCTTATTTTATGGGTCCCTTTTCATTATTGTATAGTGAAATACCATACTTTAGCAAGGCCCAATGATTCACATCTACAGCATTAAAAGTATTAGAAAATCTACACTTCTAAAATTAGATATAGGTAAAAGAATAAATTAAACGCTGCCTCCTCCTACAACCATAACTTCTCTTGAACATTGACCATTGCTGCAGATCAAGTAATTACCACCATCACTGCTCATGTCTCCACTAAATCACTATTAGCCCCAACCATAATTGCTCAATCCCAATGTCTAATCTATTTCTGTTTAAATATTATCACATGAATTTAGAAAAATCAATTGGTTTTAACACGAAGACAACCAATTTGGGATTTGAACTTATTGGGGGGAAGGTTGGCTTTGAGTAATGCTCTTTTGCCAAAGAAATAGGTTGTGAAAGTTAACCCTGCTTTTGAGAAAAAAATGATTGTCCTCCTAAATTTCACTTATCACTTACCAAACAGTGGTGTTTTTGTAGAATAATGCAGTCAGGAGATACTCAACTATGACCACTAAGTTACTTAGTACAGTTACTGGGATGCTGCAACTATTTAAAAAGAATGAATCACAAAGAAGAAGATAGTAAAAAAGGCATACACACCTACCAAATCATAGAATATGCAATTGGCATCCATGGATCCCGCAACACCACCTTGCACCAGAAAAAAGGTGTTGTTTTAATCCAAAACTATAGAAAGCTAAACCTTCATTTTGAAAAAGAAAGATATTAATCAAACCTTTCCATCAGCGAAATAACACACAACAATCACTATTTCTTTAATATCGCTCCAATCAATCACTTGGCAGCGCTGCACCTCCCAAAGACATTCTTTTCCATCAATTGAAACAGTAATAAAATAATTATCATCCACAGGATTGAGTTCTACACATGTGACTGCAGAAGAAGTAAAATTATAAATACAATAGGCTTAGGCAAACAAACAAACAAACAAACACACACAGTTATTGTGTGTGAGCGCAGGAAATCTCAAGTAAATAGATTCACCATAGTTATTATGCAGATAAACACCAAGGCATTGATCATGTCCTGCTTCCCACATACGAGCTATTGTATCCACAGAGGATGATAGTAAATATTTCAGTGTACAGTGGACTCCATTCTAGGCAACTTTACAAATAAAGCCAACAGGGCTAGTAACAAAAACAAGAATATATAAAATTTTAACATTCCTCACAAGATTTTAATTTGTAAAGAAGCATAAAGATCAAAATTAACCCCATTTCTTCAATGGGAAAGGGCCAAAACTTCATCCACATGCCCATGGAATTCATAGCCTGGTTAATCTAGAATCTGGAATACTTTTGGTAGTAGGATGACACAAGCTGATTCTAATAATTTTCTCAATTTTTTCAATTGACCTATCTTTTAATCATCAATATCAAACAAAGCTAATCTAGATAAATGCGAGAAGCACAAACAGGAAGGATTAAATAACAAGGTACAACAACAAATGCAAAAAATGGCAAATATTTTATTCCGGAGAATGATAACAAAGTAACATGAAATTGAAAGTCAATCTTGTACAGACAGAAAAAGGGATAATTTGTTATGGAATGAATCTCTATGTAACAATCATGCTCATGGAACTTATCAGATGTAAGCAAGGGAAAATGGAAACAGTAACTCTGCAAAGAGTTCCCAACAAAACAAAGCTGCCTATTATTAACCAAAATACATTTACCTTCCCAGGGCACCTTGCATTTATGTAAGGTAGCTTATGAACAACAACAATTCTCCAAAATCCTAATCTTAGTCACTTAAATTCATTAAAAAATCTTCTGTTTCCTCTCCACAAAGCTATAAATAGTCTAACTAAATCAAAAGCTTCTGTCAAGATGCACTCATCAGTCATCACATCACAACACATCAATAAGCAGGTATAATTAATATTAAAATGGAAACAGTAATTAAGTTAACAGAGTTCAACTTCTGGCATATAAGCAATATCCAAACTCCAGAGAAACCTAGCTCCAGGGCCTAACGTTTGGCAATTTAAAATTACAAAAACTAAGGAAAATTGATTCTTCGAATCAGTGTTTTAATTCCATAACGCTCTTGATCTCGGGGGCATAGAGGCCATAGACGACGGCCTGACGTTTGGCAATCTCGAGCTGTGCCTTTCCATCTGAGATGGCGGCGGCAACCAGAGACGAGTCTGAGAGGGCCTTGTTCTGCCGGAAGGCGTCAACGGTACGGCGCTTGGTGTACTCTCGTATGTTGTAGTCTGAGAAGTCACGCGCCGTCCTCAGCAGTGACCGGAACAACGAGAGAACATGGAGGCGTGATGTCGACGCCATTTTTGGTCCTTTCTTCAGATTTTGGAGAGAGCGGTAGCAACAGGCTTGAAATTCTTATTCCTCCGTGTGAGTGTGTCAGTGTGTGTATATAATAAATTTTTGGGTAGAAGTGTCAAATAGCCCCATCTACTATCGCGAAGTGTTCAATTTACCCCACGAATCAAAATATAGTGTAATTAGCCACACGAATCATCTAAATTTGTTCTAATAGCCTTTTTCGCAAGTAACGAGCCAGTTGCCTATGACGCTTCCCGGTTACGCTGAGGTGGCTTGTCTACGTGGCAATAATTAACAAAATTTTGATACAACTCATCAATATTTCCATACAACTCATCAGTGACGTGAAATTAGGCATTCCCAAATTCCCAATTCGTGAAACCTAGCCCGACACCGACACTGGAGAAGGAGAAGCGTTGATTGATCTGACGACCTGCACCATTGACG